GTTGAATTTTGGGTGAAGATTTGACTTACTCTTTTCTTTTACAGGGCCTGGCTGAAGAAAAATGTCTTGCCCAAGATGACAACAACGACGTTTCAACTTCCGGTTCTAACAACGAAGAGGTGTGGAAAGTATCATATGTTTTGAATTAAATCAATCAATCAATAAAGAACGGTCTTCATTCACGGTTTTAACAGACTTGAAAACCTATTAATTATTAATTTGATAAGATACTTGATGAAAAGCCGTCAAAACACTAGAAAATATCAAATAGAATCTATATAAATTCAGAGACTCGAAACATTTCTTTTATAACGCGTTTCTTAAACCGTGTAAACTACAAGAAAAGAAAGGGCTTGACCGGGGTGATTACATCATAATTTTTGTAACAAAGAGCGCTACAACCACAAAACATGAGAGACGTCTTTAATTGAAGCGTTCCTCGATTTGTTGATGACAGTCAGAAACTGCTTTTATGTAGTGAACCCTTTCAACAGAGTTAACGTAATACTTCGAATTTTTTTCGTCAGACCTATGATTCATTGGTATAAAAACACGTTCATATACCTTCCTTTTGGCACGACTTACGTCATTCACGTTATTTCTTAGGAAACTAAGGAGGACGACCTAAGATCTTTTAAAAACAGTCGTCTTGAGGGGACAAGTCAACCGACAGAGCCGTCTAAGGATGACAAGGATTCTGATCAACTTCAACGCGAAAGTGGATCTAAACAATTTAATGAGGTAAATATTGGTGAAACTTTATCCAAGTGTCCCTATATACTTGTTCCTACTTCAAATGGTATTCTGCTTAGGAAAGAAGCTCCTATCCAGTTGATACTTTCACCTCCGAAGATATGTCTACCTACTAAATTGTGCAAATGAATGGTTTAATAGTTAGAGGATTGTCCAGCCGGTGTGACTGGTTGATTTTTATATACACTGTCGGATTAACGCCGTAGATTTGTCTGGCTTTTTCTTCTATGATAAAGCGTCTGAAAGCATCCGGAACCCTCGAAACCATCCTTATCTTTGCCACGTAAGCGTTAATGTTTAATTTTATTCGTAATTTTATTTTCTCTCAGCATTGTCTTAATCGCGATTTTGAATTTGAGAGTGTTTGATACAAAGAAGTGGGTGTTTTGAACTGTTCGGTTATTTCTTTTTACAACTACGCAGTAATGTACAAATATGAAAAAAATAATACCCGGTTATGTTTCTACCGTCGCAGATTAAAGGGGCACCTAGTTTGCTTGAAGACATGCGGGTAATCAGAACCGCTGAAAACGAGGACGTCAAGATTAAGAGCCCGCCCTGTACCGTAGTTGTCTCTTCAAAAGATGAAGTGGTCGCTGACACAAGTTCCACCAAGAGACTATCCGAATTCGAAAGTGACAGTCTTGAAGGAAAGTACATTATGAAGCTTGAAAGAAGATTAGGTTGCCTTGAAAACCTGATACCCCAGTACCACTCTCGTTTTGAAGAAGATGCAATCTTCAAACAAAAGTTGCAGGAGAAGATACAGCAGCTTATAGAGGAAGGCGAAATCTTCAAACAAAAAATGGAGGAGAAGATTCAACAGCTTGAATCAAAACTAGATGAAAAGGATCATTACAAGGAGGACGTGCAAAAAACCGCCAAACAAGCTGCAAAATCAGGGGAACTGGCCCAACCTCGGGAAAAGAAGGAAACGGAAATGAATCTGCAGTACCATTCACAGTTGAAAGGTATGGCTGAAATGAAGGCAGCAGGCCAAGACCTTTCACGATTGAAAGAAATGGATAGCGGTAGCGAGAAAATGGAGAGGAAGGTAGCCGGGCCTGGTTCACATTTGGGAGAATCGGATTACAGCAAAGAGAACATGGAGGAGACTGCTATTGCCGAGATTCATCCGCCGCTGGTAAAAGAAACGTATCATCAAAAAGCGAACACAGAGAAAGAAATACAGGACGCAAAGAAGAAAAGTGATGAACGTTTTAAGATAATAGAGAGGGAGGTAGAGGAGCACGCATTACAGTTGGATGGGCGTGAAGAGAAGAGAGAGAAGACAGTGGCCCAGTTCCATTCTCAAGTCGAAGAAAAGGATCATCAAATGGAGAACTTAGAACGAGAAATACAGGGTGCAAAGAAACTGTTTAAAGAAATTGGTAAACGCGTGGAGGGAATCGAGAAGAAGGTGGCCGAGCACGCTTTACAATTGGATAAGATTAGTTCTAGTATGAAGACGATAGAGAAAACGAATACCCAGTTCTATTCACAGCTGGTAAAAGAAACGATTCGTCAACGTGAAAAGATGGAGAAGGAATTAAAGGATTTAAAAGAACTGATGAAAGGAATTTCTCAACGCACCGAGGAAGTGGAAAAGAACGAAACCGATCACGGTTTCCGTCTGGAAGAAATTGATTCGCGCGTAGAGAGAATCATGAAGACGGCAATTGATCGATTTCATTTGCAGCTGGAAGAATCGCGAAGATTCCTGGAGGAAAAATTGAAGAAGGAAATGCGAGATTTAGGTGATGAAGTCAAGAACCAAAGCGCATTCCTCTTCACTCATCAAGAAAATATGGCCCTTCTTCGCCGTGCTCTGGGCGACCTGAATGTAAGGTTTCAACGTGAAGTCAACAAGTTAAATAGGCGAGTTGATATCTTATTCGCACGTCAGATAATTGATGGTCCAATTGTACCCACGAGGCTTGGATAAGTCCTTGTAAAATGCCTAATTATTTGGTAATGAACATGTTTAATTGCAGCTGTTTTCCCATTGGTTTTTGTGGGTATATCAGTGGGTCAAACCTTCCCAAGGGTGAATAAAGACTTGTATACTATGTCGAAAACGAAAATGATTTTTTTTCCTTTCCTTAAAAAGAGATAGGCCCTGATCAGTTTCCCAAAATATGCATAAGGCACGACCTGATCATTAACTTGCCAATCATTTTGAATCTGTGTCGTTTAATGTATTTTATGTAAAAGAACATGAAATGCAGATAGAGGCGTAAGGTTAGGCTCTACTAAAACTTCAGCTGAAGTTTTTAACGATGAAGTTAAGATAAGAAAGTGCGTACTAGTTTATAAGGCGCTGCATGGGGAATCTCCTATGTATATTGAGAGTTCTTTAACTACGAATTACTCACTACACGGTAGAGGGACCAGACATGGCCAATATAATTTAATCTGTCCTAAGTTTCGTAATATTACTGAAGCTGGAAGGCCTTTTCAAGTTAGTAGCGTCAAGTTATGGAACAGTTTGCCAAATGAGCTTAAGAAAAAACGCAGCACTTGGTCTTTTAGAAATGATTTGAGAAATTATTTTATTGATTCTTAAAGAGACATTGATTGTTTTGAGGCTATATTGTAAGATATCTTTTATTCTATATATTGTATTTATATTTGTTTTTAATAGTTACTTTGTTAAGCTAGTTCCAATTTTAATTCTAGACTTGCATGTATTACTTACTAATCCTTACTTTTGAGGGTCACTGGTTTGTCAGCGTAAGCTGTTATGTGTACACCCTCTTTAAATAGAGTCGACTTACTTACTTTCTTACTAGCTCAAGGTACATAAAAAATCTATCAGAAATTTTGTAGAATTTTTGATTTTGTTAAGTATAGCCAGGCAAAGCCTGAACAAAGTAATGTTTTAAGAATTTGGAAGGTTGACTTTTAACTGAAAAGTAGTTGTAATTATTGATTTGGTGAGATTGCTGTCTTACCTTATGGTCACAACCAGGCTAAGCCTGTGTGAAATAGTGTTTATTTGTTTTGTTTTTTTAGCAATTATTAGAATTATAAAAGGTACAATGAACTGAGTTATCCAAAGTAGTTCGAGATTTCAGTAGTTTTGACTTCCCTTGCATTGTGATTAATTCAGAAAACGCGCGGCACTCTCTCGACCAATGACATGCGAGACTCAAGACAGATATGTACGATTTTGACTCACCAGCTTATTATCCCATCTTTGGGATAGTTAGCGTGCTTTAACTTTAAGTTTTCGTTCGCTCCAAAGTAATATTTTTCTTTGTTTTGATTAGCATCCCTGATTACTGTCAATTAAGTTTTCTATATTGTTCAGAGATATTGTTCAATTTTTAAGATTGATGACTTCTAATAAGGCCAAGCCTAGCGTTGTGAAATGGTGTTTGACACACTAGCATGTTAAGAATTAGGAAAGTTTTAAAGGAGAAAAAAAGTGGCATAAGCATTGTCATATGTAGATTTTTTAGATGTTTTAAAATATAACTAGGTTATAAGCAAGGGTTTCTATCAACGGTAAAACACGACGTTTCGACTATACCGTGCTTCGGTCATTGTCAAGTGAATGGAATGAAATACAGTAAATATATGTATATATACACGTAAGAAATATAAAAAATTTTTGCAGGTGTAAACAAACGATAAAACTACAAAGAAAGTGCTAGTAAAAAGCTAATTAAAAACCTTTAGAACGAATTGAATCAGACTGTACATTAAGAGCAGGTCTTAGCTTGTGAATAAAAAACATCTTATAGACGAGACAGTCAAATTTGTTCGTGCACTTCATTAAGGTGCTTAAGTTCTTTGTAAGATCCTTTGGAGTCAAAGAATGTTTGTCGCGAAAATGTTTGCCAATTGACGAAGAGGAGTTTTTATGTTTTTCAATACGTTGGTGTAGATGACGGCGTGTGAAACCAGCATAACCTGCATCGCACAGGTCACATTGAATTTGTAAACAAGGCACTGTTGGTTCGCAATCGGCGGCTTAGCTTCTCGCAATTTGAGGTCTCGACCAATCTTCTGGCTAACAAATACAGTTTGTAAGGTCGTCTGGATCCTATGACTTAGATCTTTAAGTTGGGCACAAACAATATCAGCGGATGCCTGATCTTTATACGGTAGGACAACGCGAATGGGGTCCGATCGATCGCTGACATCAAGTAAGGAAACTGGTTGATCAGATACTTTGGCGGCAACAAACCGTGAAATGGTAGAATTGACTAGATTATCAGGATATTTCAAACGAGAAAATACTGATTTAAGTCGATCGCATTCTTTAGAGAAATAACGCCAATTAGATGAAAGTCGAAATGCACGATCAAGCATAGTTTTTAATAACCCACGTTTGTAACGATCATCTACATGGCTCTTGTAATGTAGTAAAAGGCCCGTATTTGTAGGTTTAACGGACACCTTGGTCTCAACATGTGTACGTTTGTTGAGCAGCTGGGTGCCCAAAAAAGGGAGCATGCTGTTACTCTCCGTCTCCTTGTTAAACTTAATAGAGGAATGGCACTGGTTTAAAATGTTGAGGAAATTGTCTGCTGATGCTTTGTTCGGCATAATGGTCAATGTTCCATCAACAAATCTCTTGTAGTACGTGGGCATCTTGCCTTCGCGCTCCAGGGTTTCTTCGATGCTGCACATAAAAGCGTTGGCTAACAGAGGACCAAGGGGGGAGCCCATAGCAACTCCGTCTATCATGCTCCCTTTTTTGGTCAAATTTCAATGTGACCTGTGCGATGCAGGTTATGTTGGTTTCACACGCAGTCATCTACACCAACGCATTGAAGAACATTATCCTTTGAAAGTGATAATCACGAAATATTAAGGCTGAGAGAGATTTCGTCAAGGAAGTCCATTGTAAAGGAATATCAATGAAGTTAAGGGATCGGAGAACTCTTATCCCATAACCCATTGGGAGTGATAATCACGAAATATCAAGGCGGAGAGAGATCTCGACAGGGAAATCCACTGTAAAGGAATATCATTCAGGGAGAAACCCCTATCCCATAACCCTTTGAGAGTGATAATCATGAAATATCAAGGCTGAGAGAGATTTCGACATGGAAGTCCATTGTAAAGGAATATCAATTAGGGAAAAACCCCTATCCCATAACCCTTTGAAAGTGATAATCACGAAATATTAAGGCTGAGAGAGATTTCGACAAGGAAGGCCATTGTAAGGGAATATCAATTAGGGAGAAACCCCTATCCCATAACCCTTTGAGAGTGATAATCACGAAATATTAGGCAGAGAGAAATTTTGACAAGGAAGTCCACTGTAATGGAGAATCATTTAAGGAAAAACCTCTATCCCATAACTCTTTGAAGGTGTTAATAACGACGTATTCTTGGTTTTCACGCGACGTCATCGAAATAAAAAATAAGGAATTATCAATCTTTATGAGATTTTAGTTTAGTTAGTTAATACAACAGTTGAAGACTTATCTTTTGACAAATTTTCAGTTTGATCGGGTCTTTCGTCTTGTGAGCAAGGTTAAATTTCTAAACTCTTGTCACGTAGGTTAAAAAAGTGACTTATCTGGCTGAGATTTCGCAATCTGAACAGTCCTTTATGAGAGTTAGTGCTCATATAGATATTTATGAGCCCTCAGAAGACGAATATAGGCTTTTTATAGAAAAACGCGATGACATATATTTTTGTTAGCTTCCTTACAAATTCAAGTGAAAAATTTCTTCGAATATCAACTGAGGAAAAACCCGGATAACCTCTTTCTCCCATAACTCGTTATAGGTGGTTGTCACGAAGTTCTCTAAGAAAGTTCTCCAAATAGAAGCCCGTTAAGCTATCCTATGATGTTTTGAAGGTAGTAAGCACGAAGTACCAGGATGGAGAAAGAAAAGTAGCCCGTTGGGAGGAATATTAATTAGAGAAAAACACCTATCCTATAACTCTTCGAAGGTGGCACTCATAAAGACTTGGAGCGGAGAGAGGTAAGGCCCTTAAAGATTGGAGTCACAGGAGCTGTGACTCAATGTGTTACATCACATTTAATTTGTTCTGGCGTTTAGTTTCAATTGGCACCAACCAAATCTTTACTTTTGGTAATCTAGACGACGAACGACGCAGTATTTCGGTAAGTTATAACTAAACTGAGTCGAAAACTTGATCAAAATAACTAGTAGCTATAGAGATCAAGCAATGTATGACCGTGGTGCCAGGGGGAGCAGGGTTGGCGTAGTGATGAGAGCGCTCGCCTTCCACCAATGTGTCCCGGGTTCGATTCCCGGACCCGGCGTCATAAGTGGATTGAGTTTTTTGGTTCTCTGCTCTCCTGCTCCGAGAAGTTTTTCTCTGGGTACTCCGGTTTTTCCCTCTCCTCAAAAACCATAATCATTTGAATTTATTTCATTTTGAGTTTGTTTGGATTTACACACGACCCCACAAGCTGTTCAGCTTTAAACATTATCGTGTCTAAATAAAGGTGTTACTATTATTATTATTATTATTTGCTAATTAAGGGAAAACCCCATATCCCAGAATGCTTAGAAGGTGTTATTGTGGCTTTTTAAAACACGTAGAAGCGCAGCGCGTTCCATCATCCAACATGGCGAGGGTAATGGACATGGTTGTCTGAGGTAAAAGCAAATCAAGATGCCCGGATTTCGTGTCTCTGAAGTCGACAAGGATAGGCTGAAAAGCGAATACTTTTGTCGCATTTGTGAATTAGTTCTGAGGGATCCCATTCAGACGGAAAGTGGAGTTTTCATTTGCCGCTCTTGCCACTGCCAAGGGTAAGTATGAACTCTCTAATCTGAATATTCTACAGATAAAAACATGGTACTTAGAGGGATCCCCGTTACCCAGAACTTTGCTAAAACTATGCGTTTACAGCGGAGTTTACGCTGAGGGTTCGGTCTATGGAGTATAATTGTAGACAGACGTCAAGGAATTCCCGAAGGGATTCGAAGGTTTGCAATTGTGAAACGACATTTCGGCCAATATGAATTCAGCATGGGTTAGTCCAAGAAATGAGGTTACTGTGCATGAAAACTAGGTGAATGATTGCCTCAGGTCATTAAATGGTCAAGGAAAAGTCGGACAAATCTGACTCAGGGAAAATTTACGCCATCGAAACAACTCAGTGAAAAGTGAAACCCGCCCAAATCATCGAGAACTTAATCAAATTGTCCTCGCCTGTTCATTATGAAAGACTGGAAAATGATAACGATGTTACTCGTGCATATGGTATAGTACAATTTATAATAGATTCCTGACAAGCACGGTATCGTTTTCCTGCGTTATGCATTATAGTGTGGGAGGCAGTGTGGGAGGCAGTGTGGAGGAGGCAGTGTGGCCGAGTGGTTAGAGTGTCGGACTCGTAATCCGCCGCTCCCGGGTTCGAGCCCCACCCTGACCACTGGATCTGTTTCACGGTAGCCCCGAGTTCAGATCCTTGGCCACTCTTGTAAATAGCCAACTGGTTTGCCTCCGGCCGGTTGGGGTTCTAAATGATGTTCTTAATGATGTTATGTTCAATTTAGACCATTTGTTTCATTTGTTTCATTTGTTTGCGAGGACCACAATGGAAACTACTGGTTCACCAGTAATTGTGTAATCCTATAAAAAGAATTATTACTAAACCACGAAATATTTGTATAAGCGAGACAAAGGCTACTAGATTTGTAGCTGATGGTATAAATGGTTCTAAATTTTTTGTAATAATTCTTGGTCTTTTTTTAAATACTTATAACTTTTAAATACTTATAACTATTGTAGATACACGTACATTTCTGTAACGAGTCTTTTTCTTAGACTCATCAATGTCACGTGTTTAAATAAAGTTATTCATTCAAAGGCAGCCTTAATTAAGACAAGATTACAATTCAACTAATTTTTCGCAAAATAAAACTCTAATTTTATATATATACAAGTTAATGAATGAAGTGGTTAACTCCCTCAAACATACTATTGACAGAGAAGCTCTCTAGCTGATACTGAAACATAGACCATTGAAACATATAGAACAGTTAATAACTTGTTTCCATATAGATAAATTGACTGATGCAGTCTAGGTTTTGTGCAAAAATCATAGTGGGTGCAATTTGTGGTAAATAAAGAGATTTATGAGTGCTTAATTATAACAATTTAGGTGATAATATATATGAAAATATTTTAGATAGCTTTTGTTAATTATCCATATGTAAAGTTCAAACCCTGCAAATTTCAATTTGTGCATTTGGTCAAATGAACCTCTTCCAATCTCTATAAGTCTAAACACCATAACAGAGGGTCAGGCTTGTTTGTTTGTTTTGTTTTGTTTTTTTTTTTTCAATATATCATACCTTATGTACATAACATACTATAAACTATTACATCAAAGATATTCAATGGATACATTAAAACAGTGGTCCATTTACAAGAAATAATTCACAAATGATTAATGAAGTATAGAAAGAATCAAAACTTCTTATGGCCATGTGTGGGAGGGAGGGAAACAAAAACTTACTAGAAGCTTGGAATTGTTGCTTGCTTAATTGATCGCTAGTGAAATGTACTTAGATGCATAATGTGTAATTTCTTCAAGATTGATTTTGAGATAAAAATTATCGATAAAAAAGCATTACATTTCAACCTTTCTGAGGTCATTTTCAAGTGAGTAAAAGTTTTCTAAATGAGCATAAAAATGTAGAAAAAGTTGAAATTGGTAAAAATGTGGCAAATGCTACAATGTGAAAATATGTAAGAAAGTGCTAAGATTATTTGTGGTAAAAACACTGGAAGAATAATAAGTCAAGAACTACTCATTAATAATTTGGTGCAAATTGAATCACACTGTTTAGTGTTGGTTTGAGTTCTTTGCTATAAAAACATTTCAAAATAAGACAGTCAAATTTGTTCTGAAACTTTCTCAATGTTATACAACTTTGTGTGATGTTATCTGGCTCCATATCATGCTGCTCTCTGAGATGCTAAAGCAGTATAAAATACTAATATAATTTTGTAATAAAAATGGGCCAGTGTGAGACATAGTGATTGGCTCTATTTAAATATTTTTACTTGCAGGCTGAACATTTTACTCAGTCAAGGAAAAACTAATGAGTAACTTGCCCAATCTGGACCTCTCTGTTATTGATGTCTAGATTCATACTAATGGAACTAATATTCTCAACAATTTGTTCAATGTTATTTTGAGTTTTTACATTGTACTTTAGTTTTAAATTTGCTGCTATACAGGCATTCTTGTGAAGGATTAACAATAGCAACCGGGATATTAATTCTTGTTATAGGAATTCCCCAGTGTTGACTCATTGTTCAGATGGACAAGTTCTTGCGGAGGTAAAGTAAACTGTATCATTTATAAATTTTATTTGAATGAAAGTCTAGCTAGGTTTGCAGTTATTTAAATGAGCGAAAAAATGTTATGATTAACAATTGGTACATACGTCAGTGTGCGTTCATCGAGATATGAAGCACACGGGAAGTTTGGAGAGCATGAAAGAAGCATAAGAGTTGCTTGAGGCGCAGTCAAGAGCAACTCTAGCTTCTTGAGTGCTCTCCAAACTTCCCAAGTGCTTCATATCTCGATGAATGCACAGCTGACGTATGAACCAATTGTTTTATAACATTTTAAACACTGTAGCTTATGTATAAAGGGCAGAAATTCCCTCTCCTATGCTTCAATGCATTGTTTATTTATTTTGTTTTGGAAAAGTATTTCGCTATGCTTCAATGACCCTGTCTCAGATTGGTCAAAAACTGACAGTTGAATTCATGCGTAGAAATGAAGTTTGATTTGCAAAACGAGATGAAACTGGCATTGATTGTTTTGTTTTCCCTTTCTCTGGGTTCTTTCTCGGGAGTTAAAAAATCCACTCCTAAAGAAAAAGTAGGCAGATCTTTATCGGCTTGTTTGTTTGTTGACATGTCTAGTGTAACTTTTTTGTGGAAGTTTTTCCTGTTTTCTTAATGAAAAATGCTGAAGTCCCTCACGAGAAAAAAATTTTTTCATAAGGCATTTGTTTGCCAACATCACCAGCGTGCACAATGGAAAATTGGAGCATGCTCACACTATTGAAATTGATTACACGGATTTACAAGCTGTGTTATAACATTTGATAGTGAGTACAGAGAGAGTTGTGAATGGTTCCCTTTAAAAATTGTGTTTCAGGCAAACTTTTCATTGGATCTCAGAATCTCACTGGATCACTAAAATGAAGCGAAGCGGTTGCTAAAATAAAATAAACAACAACTTACTTCAATTATACCTAAATAATTTGACAAAGTGGGAATGTTTTGCTAGGAAATCGCAAATCAGAGTATTCAGATGACCGTGATGACAATTAATGCAGACTTGAGTATGTTGGAGACTATGTCAGATATGTCATTGCCTTTATCTCCGGACCATCAAGGAATGTCTTCGCCTGAAGACAACAGCGATGATATTTTGGACATGAATTGGAGCGGTGTCTCTGAAGGTGATGGAAGAAGCTATCGTGAAAGCTTTTCAGATGATGAAGAGAAATCAGTTGGTGGCGACATCTCCAATCAAACAGAAATTTTTAAGGATCCCTTTGTGTACCCAGGTTCACTACTTAAACTGTCTGAGAGCGTTCTTTTGATCCTTACTTTGGTGGTTGCTCGCAATCTAAATGGAAATTGTCTTTTAGGTGTAATTGCTTCGATTAATTTGCACTGTATTCCTGGATTACTTAACAATTAAGTGTGTCAGCTCATTGAATGCTCTTAAAAAGTACTTTGCAGACTTGATACATGCATGGGCCATAAGGTAGAGCTGTACACAAGCCATGAGACCCACACCATCAGAGCTTATCCTTGCTATATGGTTTGCCTGTTTTAGCTACATGTATTTAAAGAATTAGTGGCACCGAAATTCAGGTATTTCTCTTTGGTATTTGTAGTTCAGAAGAATCTCACTTTTTATCAAATAATTTAAGCAATTTTGTTATGATGACAGCATAAATAACCCAGCCTAGCTTCACCAAAAACTTGGATTGCATTAATTCATTTGAGAGAAAGGTTCAAGCAGGATACATGCAAGCTATCGTTTAAGTAGAGGCTGATAGTTTCTAAAAGAAACTGTTTGGGGCTGCGTCAGTAGGGGCAATGAAATAATTTGAATATATCAACAAAGTTGAAATGGTAAATTGGCCACTGTTACGATTATAAAAGCTGACGTTATCATTTAAGTAGGATTGGCAAAATGTTAAATATTTAATNCACTTGCGACTCAAAAACTCCCGCTCTTGTCGACGCTCTTGTCTAGTCACATGAATATTACCACGTGATGCGTGCCCTCAGGCATTGTGGTCTTTCGTGATGAGAGGGCATGCGCTTTACATGCCATGTAAAATGGTGGAACGTTAAGAAGGCGAGATGGCCACAACATTCATCGAAGAGAAGTATCCCTTCAAAAACCCAAAAGCACTTTTTATCGACAGCAGGATAAAACGGTACAACTTACCTCAGATGAAGATGAGCAAACTCCCGAGGAAAGTGGGAATGTTTCGCTAGGAAATCGCAAATCAGAGTATTCAGATGACCGTGATGACAATTAATGCGGACTTGAGTATGTCGGAGACTATGTCAGATATGTCATTGCCTTCATCTCCGGACCATCAAGGAATGTCTTCGCCTGAAGACAACAGCGATGATATTTTGGACATGAATTGGAGCGGTGTCTCTGAAGGTGATGGAAGAAGCTATCGTGAAAGCTTTTCAGATGATGAAGAGAAATCAGTTGGTGGCGACATCTCCAATCAAACAGAAATTTTTAAGGATCCCTTTGTGTACCCAGGTTCACTACTTAAACTGTCTGAGAGCGTTCTTTTGATCCTTACTTTGGTGGTTGCTCGCAATCTAAATGGAAATTGTCTTTTAGGTGTAATTGCTTCGATTAATTTGCACTGTATTCCTGGATTACTTAACAATTAAGTGTGTCAGCTCATTGAATGCTCTTAAAAAGTACTTTGCAGACTTGATACATGCATGGGCCATAAGGTAGAGCTGTACACAAGCCATGAGACCCACACCATCAGAGCTTATCCTTGCTATATGGTTTGCCTGTTTTAGCTACATGTATTTAAAGAATTAGTGGCACCGAAATTCAGGTATTTCTCTTTGGTATTTGTAGTTCAGAAGAATCTCACTTTTTATCAAATAATTTAAGCAATTTTGTTATGATGACAGCATAAATAACCCAGCCTAGCTTCACCAAAAACTTGGATTGCATTAATTCATTTGAGAGAAAGGTTCAAGCAGGATACATGCAAGCTATCGTTTAAGTAGAGGCTGATAGTTTCTAAAAGAAACTGTTTGGGGCTGCGTCAGTAGGGGCAATGAAATAATTTGAATATATCAACAAAGTTGAAATGGTAAATTGGCCACTGTTACGATTGTAAAAGCTGACGTTATCATTTAAGTAGGATTGGCAAAATGTTAAATATTTAATAGTTCACAATCAGATCTGCATGCATGAGTATATATAATGTGCTTATAGAGATTGATATAAGCACTTTTCCATTTTAAGTTTATTATTCATACAGTGTAATAAAAATGAAAACAGCACTGCATCATGTAATATTTGAACCCTACAATGGAATTAGGGACTCCTCAATTTACTGTATCAGTCCATGCAAGGCTATATCTATAAATATGAGCAAACATAAATGCTACATATATGTGCAAACTTGCATACATGTTACATACATGTTTTCATCCTCACCAATTTTCATATATGTCGCATATATGCAGACATATGTGACATATATGTAGAAATGACTGTAGCATTTTAACTATATGTCACATATATGCACATATATGTGACATATATGTGCAACAATTGAACCTATGTCACATATATGTCACATATATGTAGATTTGGTAAGGGAAGAGTTCATTTATTTTGACCCTTAAGTTTTGCATTTGTTCAAAGTTCTAAAACTCTCAGGGTTGTTCTCGTATGCTAAGGGCTTTTGTCAAAAGGTAGCCTGTCTGAATTAAATCAGAATACTTTTTGTCATGCGAGTGTTACTTCCAACTTCAGGTTAACTCAAGTCTCAATTCCCTATGAATGATATAAGCTAGCTGAATTTTGAAACCTTATCAAAACTGGCAATACATTTGTGGTTAAAAATTCTCCTTATACTAATTGTAAGAAAAGGGTCCCCAAGTGCATCAAGTAAAGCAGTTACAATAGGTATGCAGAGGACTTGCTTAATTTGGACTATTTGAGCCTGTCAATAATTATGATCAAGGTGATACAGTGTATAGGTCATCAGTCTCCTTCACGCTTGTTGATCATTTAGGGAAGTCTTCCCAATAAAACTAGCACTAAATTAGTTATAATTTTCCTTTTCTTTGATGACAGTTCCTGCTAATAGGTTTCTAATTCTGCAAGGGTAGAGGCTGTACTTGTGTAGAAGATCTCATCAAGGGCTGCTAAAATTGAAAAAAGAAAATAGATATATTCTTGAAAATAATTGGATTGAGATTTAAAAAAAGTTCTTCTGTAGCATTTTTTGAAAAGTTATAAATTAAAACAGTTATTTCAATGAGAATCCCAATTTGAGTTTAGATTTTTGTGTACAAAATAAAAAGCTGATATACAATGTAAAAAGCTAGTTTAAAATTGCAAACAAAGTTTAAAACTGAGCAAGATAACAGAACTTTTTTTTTCAATTTTTTTTTTCGGCAAACAGATGGTAATTCAACCATTATTGACTCAATGTAGCTGCTGTGAGGTAGCTGACAGAGATTTTGTGTAAATAAATGACAAATATGTAAGACTAACATACAATTATACTCAAGAGATTTAAAAAAAAACCTATCAGAGTAAAAGGCCATTGCCTTTGTTTTAGTTTCTTCACTCTGTCTAATGAAATAACAACACTTGTCTAGTTTTAGCTATGTCAACTCATAAAAAATGCCATAATTTAAATATGAGCTTTGATTTGCAATTGACTAGTCATTCAGAATTTAACTTATTTAACTTATTCAAAATTAACTTATGCTGTCACTGGCTATATTTAGCGGTACATACAGAAATTAGGATTGAAGGTGTACACAGCTCTGGTCTGAGTAGCCATTTGTGTAGGGAGTTACGAGTATTTTGCTTGTTAACTCCACATATCAATTACATATTTTGGGACTCTATCCTCTATGATGAGTTGATTGCCCCTGATCATGATTAGTATGTTATGTTTGAAATGCTTTCCAAACATTTTGTTAAAAAATAATATAATATTACTCCAGTTAATAATTCATGAGTAATTTGGTATTTGTCATCTTCTAACAGAGAGAAGTTCCCCGATGTAATCAATTGGGTCGTGAAATTCTCAGCTTGGTGGTATCTTGCACCTCTCAGGGATGTCTATGGCAAGGGAAACTACGTGACCTTGAGGTGATATTTTGTTACCAATTGCAAAATGTTATGTGAATTACAAAAGGAAGAGACATCAAAACTCTTGAAGCCTTCTTGGATGTTGCCTCAATTTTTGCTCAGCTTAATTAACTTACTCTCACTGCACATACAAACTAAATGTACTTTCCAGGGTTAAATGCTTGCATGGCCTTTAGCGCATGTAAAAGGGTTAATACGGTTCCTGAAAAACCTCAGGAAGGCCCTGGAATTTTATTTTGACATTTTCCAGGACTAGAATGGAAAAAGAATACAAGTCCTGGAAAGTCCTAGAAATCTGCTTCACTCAAGCAATAAAGTTTTCCAAATTTATGGTGTAAGAAATGTATGTAGACTGTAAGGAGAACTGATTTTGAAATCTTGGAAATGAAAGGGTTCAAGGTGAAATTTGTAGTCCTGGGAAAGTCAACCTTAGTCAGGGCTGGAAATGTCCTGGAAGGCTCTTTGAAATTTGTTTCTGAAAAAGGGTATGAAGACTAAGGTAACTTTTTGCATTTTTTTTTTCTTTTTCTTGTTTCCTTTTTGGTGGGTGATACCATTGCTTTCGTATTATAGGGTGAGTTTTTCGTGGAACAAGGTTTTGCCTTAAGTCAGATATAGGACTATGTGTATACAGCAAATGTAAGATGAAAAACATTAACTTGCCACTGCATACTTCAATTTCCTTAAATCAACAAACAGATCTAACAGGAAAGAAATAAAAAAAAATCTCACATTTATGAGGGGTGCAAATTAGAGTGATGTCTAATTCTTCCCATTTTCTGCAATCGCTTCTAAATCTCCTTATTATTTGAATTATGTAGACAACAGTCAGCATAATTATTTGAGGTAAAGGTGCTTTAAAATGTTTCAAAGCAACCTTAAATTGATCTTCTTTTGGATTCTTTCCTCTTCAGAGAGAGAGAAGAATGCTATTTATTAAATAGAATTCAACTTACATGTTGTCTTTAGTACTTCTTATGATTGTACCTTTTCTGGCATTTTTTTCTGAACAGAAACATACAAGTGCTAGTTGTGGATTTGTAATGGTGAGATGTGTACATAGTGCCTGTGGAGTGAGGATCAGATTGAAGTAAACTCTGCGCTATTACTCACAGAAGATCAACCTTTATTGTACGGTTTGCACACTCTAGTTTTACATGTGCTATTGTGCTATCCTGAGACACCAGAACTCCGCTTACATAAAGTATAGCTCAAACACGTAGCGAAATCTAAACTGCTACGTCACAGATTATGCCATCTTTCTCACCATTTACAAAACGAGTGCGTGTTTGGACTAGTGAGGTGTACTATTTGTGGCAAGGAAGTCAGTCGAAACATGCTGAAGGTAAATGTATTTGATTATCTATAAAATAACGAGGGGACAATACATTTTAATATAAAAATTTCGCGAAGTTACTAACTTAGTATTACTAAACCTACCATATTCCACTACAGTTCTTGGCACACTGTTCCATTCTTGTACTTTAAGGACGGCGAAAGAATATTTGGAAGCGTTACACTTAGCTAGCTTAATTGAGAGAGAGTTTGATTAAAAGAATGGTGTAAGAAATATACAACTTTTTTTGAAAGACATGTTTCGGCATGGCATGCATATGCCATCTTTAGTCAATGAGTAACTGAGTGTGAACAATTATATAGTATACAAGTAGATAAATAAATTATTTACAATATAAATTGTAAATATAAATGAATAAATTATTTACAAGTTGTATATTTCTTACAATATCTATCATACTTGCTATTATTGCGACCTAAAAGAATGGTGTGCTCGAGTAAATTTGTACTTTGTAGTTGGAAGAAGTCGATAATTTTAAGGTTGTTTTGACCAAATACTATCTTGCAGCATCCTTGAAGAGGGAGGCACAGTCTGCGAGATTCCAATACTTTAATTTTCATGTTAACGTTCCTTGTGCCTTACGCTATGAATTTCAGGTTTTATTACTATTTGCTCGTTCTGGGCTACCCCGGGTTGCAACCCTATTGCAAATTTGAAAATTGCAATGATTATGATTTTTCTGTATAAACTGCGTGCCATTTCAAATATTTGATCGAGAAGAGTAGCATATATTTTGAGTGGTTTCCGGTCAAGTCGCCCGAAAGTCATCTCGCCCGAATCCAGAGTTATGTTGCCCGAAATTCATAGTCATGTCGCCCGAAATTTTATCAAGAAAAGTAACATCTTAAGTAAATCGCAAGGAATAAACTCGTAAAATGTTGACTCGTGAAATTCAGGTTGTACGTTTGGCTGTCGTTTCATATCACGGAGATAGTAATCCTAAAATAAAACACGAAAAAAAAATAGTAATATCAATTACAGCATGCTTCTCACTGTTGTTTTATGTATGGAAGCATTTTGTTTCGAACGAAGGTTTACATCATTACGATTGGAACATTGGAAAACGCCGCCATCTTGAATACAGCACGTGCTCAAGAATCATCACATGGTTGCCAAGCAAGATTGTGACATTGTTACAGTAGTAAATTCAGGCACGCATTAATACAAACATATTTATTGCTAGCAAGTAAACCTAATTGCACGCAGATACGATGCTGCCAAAGCCGCAATCGTCGCACTGAAGGGCTTGCTGGCGTGGTCGAACTTTATTTCTTAACTCGATACAAGGATGAAGGCTCATTTTATAATTCTTTTGCGTACGCGTAACGATCTCGTGTTTCAGCTAGCTGATTATCTCAGAATGAGGTGGCTGTTATTTATTTACTCTCTTTATATATGGTTAACTGGATTAAAATTTACATGCGACTGGCTGAGGAAACGAGGAACAACTGAACAAGTCGCGATAATTCATGCCGCGTCTGATCCTTAAGGGGAATGATGCTAACACGCTTTGTTCGCGTGGTTAACAAGAAACAACAAACACCGCCGTAAAAGTTTCAGGTTGTTTTTATACGATAAATCAAACTAAGAGAACTTGATGTATTTTTCTGATATGTGTGAAAAATTGTGATAAGTGAAAGTGTTCCGCTTATAATTACTATAATCTGTACCGTAGGACGGTACAGATAGCAACGGAACAATGGTGAAATGAACAGCGATATTTGAGTCTTTGTTTAACTTCATATTTGCATAGGACGAAAACATTTTAACGGACGAAAACATTTTAACGAGTCAACATTTTACGAGTTTATTCCTTGCGATTGTTACTTTTCTTCAAGTTTAAACACTCGATAACATTTCGGGCTTAGGGCCTGATTACATGAGCCGGGCTGATTTCTTTTGTTTTGGTGTTCGCCAAAGCGTGAAAACAAAAGAAATCAGCCCGGCTAACCGGGCCAGCCCGGCTCATGTAATCAGGCCCTTAGGATGACTTAGGATTTCGGGCGACATAACTATGAATTTCGGGCAGCATGACTCTGGTTCCGGGCGACATGTCTTCGGGCGAGATGACTTTCGGGCGACTTGACTGGTAACCATTTTCAGTTACCGTAATGTTCGATTTTGTCGCCCTTGTTTCGATAAGCGTCCCCTCAGATACGTTGATGAGCGCCCCCATTCTCTGCTCGTGAGCCTTGAAGAAAGCGAGATGGCGAGAGGTTCCCATGGGGTCTGGAACTAACAGTTCTAACAGACATCTTGCAGAGACCCTTGCAGACCTATTGTCAGCTCGCTATGCTCAAGGCCTCGAACACTTTCGCGACCACAGAAGCGCTAGAACTGTAGCGCCAATAGAGAGGGTCTCCTTGCATGCTAATTTTGTTTTTGTCCATTTTCCTAGAAACATCGAGCAAAATTTCATAGTAATGTATACTTTGAAATTGATATCCTGAGAGATGAATTAGATATTATTTCAAAGACGCAGCAAGATTTGAAGGCGCAGCTCGAACAAATTAAAAGTGAACACAGGTTGAATTTGCAAGCGTTTCCAAGCTACGATGGCCAGCTGTTGTGGAAGATTACTGATTACACTCGCAGACGAAATGACGCAGTCACTGGGCAGCAAGTCTCCCTTTATAGCCCTTGTTTTTACGCCAGTCGATACGGTTACAAAATGTGCGCCCGCATTTTCCTGAACGGGGATGGAATGGGAAAAGGAACACACATCTCCATATTCATTGTGGTCATGCGTGGTCAGTATGATGCTCTACTCCGCTGGCCATTCAGACAGAAGGTCACCTTCATGTTGCTGGATCAGGATAACGTGGAACACGTGATTGACGCCTTCAGACCTGACCCAAACAGCTCATCCTTCCAGAGGCCAAGAAGAGAAATGAACATCGCCAGTGGGTGTCCGATGTTCTGCCCACTTGCTGAGCTGAATAATCATGCATATGTCCGGGACGACACTATGTTTTTGAAAATAATCCTGGATACATCTGATCTGTAAAACAAAACGCTAGCCTTTTCCTTTCGGATGTTCCAATTGAGGCTAAACAAATTAGCTTTTATTAGTTTGTGTTGTTTTTAATCAAACTTCCTTACTTTTCAGCAAGATTTACCTTTGCACACGAAGGCATGACCAATATCATTTAAGGTATATCACTATTTATCACCCGGTTTAATAGCTGGGGCTTATTCATTCACTTGATGTGTTTACACCAATCGCGCGCGAGCAAAAATAATTGACGGATGACAATCATGGATTTGTTCGGGACAACACCATGTTTAGAAAAGTTGTTCTCTTAAGCAACTATATCTAATGCAGATGCAGAGACTTATTCGTCAAGCTATCGTAAGCGGCTGACACGCACGTTACCTTGGTTCCACCCGGCTTAGGCAGTGATTTGAATTGGGCATGACGCTGTCCCTCTTTAAATTTTAACTTCTTGCTGTTGAAGTTGCATAGTTGTTCTTTTGTTGTGATAAGCATATACTGATGGCGGCGGGCCACTTTTGTGAACTATTCCACTGAGTTCCCCTCTTCGGATGTGTACTCTCTCTCTGTTTCCGCCTAAGATATGGGTGCTTATCATTTGGTCGGAACAGATTGGAATTCCGTTCTTTATCATTACAAGCTGGCAAGATCACTCCGATATGTTTAACTTAGAAAGATTTGCTATGGTATCTCTTTCAGTTTTTTACCTCCGGAAAAAGACACTTAGCGTAACCAGTCAGTTCCGACTGAAGGTAAACGACTCATTTTTTTCTTGAACTCATGTTTTTGTACTAGCCGAGTTGCAAAGGTTATCAAATGAGATCGCATTTATTTAAAGGAAGATTGTGATGGTATTTGTGATGAACAGTAAGTAGGACTCTTCTTTCGCTGGTCATTCACATGAAGATAACCTTGTTTCTGAAAAATGTTTTACTCTTCCTTTTAAGCTTCACAAAGCACCAATCTGCTGGATCATGTGTGTATAACGTACGTGAACGTGCCTTTGAAGGAGAAACGTTCTTGCATGTGTAACTCGCATACTTTGTGCTCTAAGGCCTGAAAAAGAAGGACTGCCCCAAACAAACATGTCCGTGATTTGTACTTAAAATTAAGTTTTCAGAACACGAACATGCGCACTGATTTGAATGTGTTGTGAACATACTTAACATACATACAAATTGGCGGGTTTTTAACTGAGAAGTAGGAGGAAGAGTTTTATGGGTTTTAAAAACTCAACTTCTTAATTTTTCGACGTGTCTCCTTGTCTTAAATTGCAATTGAAAGCATGAAAATTCTTAATGAATCAGTTGGTTGCAACTATAAAACAGAGGTCATTGTAAAGTTTAAATAATTAAAAAAGGAAACAAAAACAGCTTTTCGTAAGTAATCAGTTACCTGTGAAGTTGCTGCGATGTTTTGCACAAATAAACACAGTTCTCTAAGATGCATTGTGTGTAATAAATACTTCTGTTCTTCCTAGCTATAATGACTGAAAAATGAATGTGTCCTGGTATTTAGCATTGGCTAAGAACCTCCTCAGTTCAAGAAGTAGTATGGACTCGAATTCCCGCGTAGGTTCCTTTCTTTCAGATCTCTTATACAGATTAGAAGGAATTCGATGAAAAAAAAGAGCTGGTGTTACGTGTTTCTTTTCTCGAGAGGTGACCAATGAATTAATTTCGAGACATGGCTCCAGCACTCAGGAACGTGACAATTTGGGGGTGCTATTGACTGAGAGTGATTTGAGTTCAGGCTAAGTCTTGGTTAGATAGATAGATAGATAGATAGTTTAATCTCAAAAGCATTTGCAGCCCGAGGGCTGAATTACACATTTTTACAATCCAAGAAATTTAAAAGTTATCATTCAAAAACCTAATTACACATCTTATTATACCAGCAGTTTACAATATTATAACATAATAATAAATTAAATAAAATATATTAGCTATAAATGTAAATTAATTAAAATACATGTAAATTAATTAAAAGTATCTACATTATCATTATCATCATTATTATTACTATCTTTATCACG